CTGAGCCAGCGCAGCAACTCTCGTGTGCCATAGATTCAGAGACACACACTCAGACACACACATCACCTGCAGCTCGACGGCGTCATCCCGGCGCTAGCTCTTCCAGGCAATTGGCAGGCCCGAACCACCAAAACGCAACTTAGGCAGCTACTCCCCATAGCTGGACTCGACCAGACGGCCATACATACTTCCACCCTGGCCAGCCCGTGGCCATCCCTACGCCCTCGTCGCCTCACCTTCGTCCTCGCCTTCGCAACACCATGGCCCCGCCCAAGCAGAGAAAGATTGCCATTGTCGGCAGCAGGGCAGTCGGTACGTCGAGGCGCGCGGCGTGCGCAACCTTCACATGCAAGCCGCAGCACGCAGCACGCAGTACATACTGACAATCCTCGCCCAGGCAAGTCGAGTATGACGGTGCAGTTTGTCGACGGCCACTTTGTAGACAGCTACTATCCTACCATTGAGAACACGTTTAGCAAGATGATCAAGTACAAGAACCAAGACTATGCCACGGAGATTATCGACACAGCCGGACAGGTACTTTGAGGTTTTCTTTTCTCCCCGCGTCGCCCTGCCCAGCCCACCTCCACACCCCACTCTGCCGGTGCTTCGTGCGCCGCGACTGGGCCTGGGACGCGCATTGCTTGCATCCAAGGCCGCTGCCATTGCCATTGCCACTGGAGCCATGTACTACCACTACCACTACTACTATTATATATAAACGCGAACAAAGAGGACTCGACTGACTCGGCTGCTACTGTGCAGGATGAATACAGCATTCTTAACTCGAAGCATTTCATTGGCATCCACGGCTACATGATTGTCTACTCGGTCGCCAGCAAGCAGAGCTTTGAAATGGCACGCATTATCCGGGATAAGATTCTGAACCACCTGGTAAGTGCTGGTGCATAGATACAATAGGCCATTGTTATCAAGACATGGAGGCTGACCACGTTGCCAATGCCAGGCCGTCGAATGGGTTCCCCTGGTCATTGTAGGTAACAAGTCGGACCTTCGCCCCGAACAACGCCAAGTCACTCCTGAAGACGGCCGCGCGCTCGCCGCTGAGTTCAAGTGCGCGTGGACCGAAGCCAGTGCCCGCTACAATGAGAATGTGCAAAAGGCGTTTGAGCTCATGGTTGCTGAGGTGGAGAGATCTCAGAACCCTGGTGAGCCTGCAGGCGGCAGCAAGTGTTCAGTCATGTAATGGAACATTGTTGACTGACATGGACGTGCTCCCCCTCGCTTTGAAGGCGTCGGAGTGGACAAGTACAAAGGGTTGCAGCAAGAGGGTGAGGAGCGGGACAAGAGACGACAGAAGCGAAAGGACATGGTGAAGCATCGGGTGAAGCATTTGAAGACGCTCTTTGTGGGGGGGGACTAGGGCGGGGCCATGTGGCATTTTCTTTTTTGCTTTGGTTTCTTAGACGACATAGACGGGCAGGCTGCTTTGAGGCAGTCATGACATTTGTTTATGCGGACACGACTCTTATGTTTTAGCATGAGAGGCGAGGTGCGTACCGGCGTATTAATGGAGGAGGCGGGGTGGGTGAACTCGGCGTTGTATCTGGTATGTGGACTATCCGTGTTGCTGCCTCTAGGACTGCACGTCACGGGTGTCGTAGCTACTATAATGCTCCACGTTATTTTCCAAGACTCGATGGTGCCGCATGAAAAGGACTTGTGCTGATATCTGACACGGCAGCATGTGCCATGGCTGTCTGGTGTTGGTCTGACATGGCCGCCGCTTACCCCTCCGCTGTCCGCTGTCCGTTGTCCGCTGTCTGGCCTGCCTTCTCGCTCTTCCAGCAGCAGCTCCACCGTGCACGCACACGCACACGCACACGCACACACGCACATGCCTTGCCTGCCAGCCTTTTGCCCATGCCATGCACCGACCACCCCCCAAGCCAACCCACAAGACTCGTTTAGGCAGCTCTAAAGCTTTGACAGAAAAGCCACTGTTTTCCACGGTCTTTTGGAGAGTGCCTACTCGATTTGGTAGTTTGGGACCGTAGACATCTGTGCGGCACTCAGCTGCCTCAGCCGCCGTGCATTTGCTGCTGCTACTACACACTACACACTACGAGCACACTACTTACCACCACTGCCATCCCTCACCGCCCTAGCATGTATACTATGTACTATACAACTAACAACCTTTCATCTGCTGACCCCCATTCTTGATTGGCTCCCCCGGCACCGACACCAACCTCTTTGTTTCCCCAAGCAGTAATCCACCACCTCTGCCGTTGATTGCTGGGCTTTTAGAGAAAAGGTTGCCCCGGTGCGTTTGTGGTTAGTGGCAAAGTTGGTTCTCCCCTTGGAACCTGTGGCTGCCCTTGCCCGTGGGTGCGAGTAATAAACAGGTCTAGTGCGGGGCGGCCTTTTTGGCATCCCTGCAACTGGCGGGCGGTTGTGTGGTGCGGGACACAACTTGATGAGTCGCTCACTGGCTTTTGACACCAAACTGGACCACGCCCTACGCGCCCCATTGCTTGTTCTCTCTCTTGCTGCGACACACTGAGACTGTGAGACAAGATGCTAGACTTGTATGTCATGTTTTTTTGTCTGTTTGTGTCTCTGTATTCTCGCGTCGCGGGAAATGTTGCGGCAGATGCTTCTCTGGAGAGGTTTGGAGGGGCTTGCATATTGAACAGTGGGAGAGAGAGAGAGAGCACATGGACAATACGAAATCAGACAATGGCGCCAGACTTGCGATTCTACAAGAGAAGAACTCTAGCTAATCCGCTTCTCTCTACTACAGAAACGATTTCATCAAGGAGCGCGGCGGCGACCCGGAAGTGCGTATTCCCTTCTGCGAACAATTGCTCGCGCGACAACACACAATTTCGCAAATGGCTAATTTACCCACGAACGTTTAGAAAATCCGCGACTCCCAGAAGAAGCGCCATGCTCCCGTCGAGATTGTAGACGAGATTATCGCCGACTTCGAAGGCAAGAATTACGCCTCTATACACAAAGAAAGCTCGTATGTTTCTAACCTGTGGACCTTCACGAAACAGACCACCGCCGCACGCAATACGACGCCACACAAATCGGCTCCAAGATCAACGCCATCCAAAAGCAAATCGGCGCCAAGAAGAAGGCCAAAGAAAACGCAGACGACCTGCTCGAAGAAAAGAAGCAACTCGAGGAGTCCAAGAAGAAGCAGGAGGCAGAGGCCCACGCTAAACTCGTCAAACTCCATGCCAAAGCGAAGTCGGTCGGCAACTACGTGTACAAGGATGTTCCCGTTAGCGACAATGAGGATAACAATGCAGTGCTGAAGACTTGGGCGCCTGAGTCAAGGAAGGCCGAGTTTAATAAGGAAGGCATACCGCATCATGGGGTTTTGGCTAGGTTGAATGGGTAAGTGGAGGCTGCTGTATATTGGATTTTTGGGGGGGGGTGGGGTGCTGATGGTTTGAGACAGATATGATCCCGAGCGCGGTACCAAGATTGTTGGTCATAGAGGATATGGTAAGTGCATCCCAGCAGGTGTTTTTCTGGTGGGCGGGCTTTGACAATGCGCGGTGCGCTTGTTGAGGGTTGCATGATTTGGCGTATGGAATCTTGGACTAACTTTTGTGTAGTACGTGAACTCCACATCTGCAACTGCCATTGCACCCAACCGACTACGCTTTCGTCGAAAAGCGTGCAAGCGCTCCCTTGGGCGACCGCTCTGGATATGAAACAACATGGAGCACCTACTAATATATGTGTTTAGTGCCTGACTGGCTATGGTGTCTTCCTCAATCAAGCACTGATCAACTACGGTCTAGAATTCCTAGTAGGTATTCAGACACGTCATTTGAAAATGTCAAAACTGACACTACTTCTTAGTTCAGCAAAGGCTTTACCCCCAACCAACCACCTTTCTTCATGCTCCGGGATCAGATGGCCAAGACCGCACAACTTTCCGACTTTGACGAGGAACTCTACAAGGTCACTGAGAGCAAGGACAAGCCCGAAACCGACAAGTACCTCATTGCCACTTCAGAACAGCCCATTTCCGCTCTTCACTCAGAGGAGTGGCTGCACAGCGACCAACTGCCCATCAAGTACGCCGGATACTCGACAAACTTCCGAAAAGAGGCTGGATCTCACGGCAAGGATGCCTGGGGTATCTTCCGGATACACCAATTCGAAAAGGTCGAGCAATTCCTCCTCACACACCCCGAAAAGTCATGGGAGGCCTTTGACGAGATGCTTGCCAACTCGGAAGAGTTCTACCAGAGCCTCGGTCTCCCTTACCAGGTTGTCGCTATCGTTTCCGGAGCCTTGAACAACGCCGCCTCGATGAAGCGCGATCTCGAGGCCTGGTTCCCTGTCACTGGCGGTGGAGAGTACAAGGAGCTCGTCTCCATTTCCAACTGCACCGACTACCAGACTCGTGAACTCGAGATTAGACACGGTATCAAGAAGTTGAATGCGACCCGCAAGGAATACGTTCATGCGCTTAATGGAACTCGTAAGTTTCTCTTCTTTTCGTGTTGGTTACTGGGAGGTTGAGTGCTAACTCCGTCGTGTTTAGTTTGCGCTACTGAGCGAACTCTTTGCTGCATTCTTGAGAACTACCAGACGCCAGAGGGTTTCGTTGTTCCCGAGGTTCTGAGGAAATACATCCCCGGCCAACCTGACTTCTTGCCATTCGTCAAGGAGTGGAAGGCGCCTAAGGAGGACAAGGCTCTTCCGGACCGGACGAAATAGGCTGAGGGGTTTGTCGAGTAGAGGGTGTTGAAGGAGAAAGTTCCAAGGACGTGGAGTGATTGATTGATGGATTCGCGTGGCGCTGAAAGACTGGCAAAGTATGCCTTGCCATGGTATGATGAATACTGAATCTTGAGTGAGGAGATTTCACGAATGCAAAATGTGAAATTGTAGCTTGCCATATCTTGACAGCCCCCAGGCTGTGATGATTTCTGTCCTTCCCTTCTACTAACCCCATTTTTTCCATCTTCTCCCAAATCTCACCCACTCTCCTCTTCTTCTTCCTCCTCCTCCTCCTCAAGCCTATTCTCCCAACTCCCCAACCATCGATACCCACTACTCGCCTTTCCCAACGCCTCCAACGCCCTATCCACAGGCCCTTCTTCCTCCCCCTCTCCCTCCCCACCCCCATCCCCTTCATCCCGCCTACTCCGCCCCTTCAACTCCACAAAAAACACATAATGCCAATTCCGATCCCCACTCGGCCGCGTATTAATCGACGTGAGATTAATCCCTTGATCCGAAAACGCCGTCAGGCAATTCGCCAGCGCACCGGGGTTCGAGTGGTGTACTGTGAATGTGACGAGGGATTTCCAGTGATCATGTCTTTTATTTCCTTTTGCATGGGTTATATTTTGAGTTGGAGGTGAAGGGGTAGAAAGAAGAAGAAGACCAGGAGAAGAAGAAGGAGACGACTGCCGTTGTTGTTGTTGTTGTTGTCGTCGTCGTCGTCGTCTCAAAATAAGAAACCTAGTCATATTCCCCAACCGATCATTCACTCCTTCCGCCAACACTTGTAGCCCAAAGATGCCCGCTGCAACGGGACTAGACAGTGCCGCCGACGTGCCCGTCGCATCCTCCGCTGCAATCTGCGCGGCGCGCGACGTGCTACTCACATCAATCTTCTCGACGTTGCGGAAATGCGTGGTGAGGAAGTTTTTGCACTGGCCCCAGGCTTGCGGGTGCGAGTATATGCGTTTGATGTGTGAGAAGTCTTCTTCGGTGCCGGTGGAAGAGCTTGGAGTAAAGGGGTGATGGCCGAGAAGGCAATGCCGTACGGCTACGTACGCTTCGTCGCAGACGAGGATGTCGGCGTGTTGTTTCGAAGAGTCGGCAAAGAGATCTAGAGTGAAGAGGACGGAGCCGTTGGAGCTGTTTTCAAAAGGGACGACGCCAAGGTGGGCGGTGCGGGATTGCACGGCCGTGAAGACGTCTTGGATTGTGGTGAGAGGGGTTAGGGTTGTTGTTGGGGGGTCTTGTGGGGGGAAGGTTGAGAGAGCGGCCTGTTTTAGGGTTGGTTTTGGTACTTCATGGGTGTTTGGGAAAAAGGAATAAAAATAAAAGGAGGGTGAAGGGATTGGAGAGAAGATATTAGAGAGTGAAAAGAGTGGATGGAAAGGAAAGGGTGTACAAGGAATGAGAGATGATGCCTAGGCCAACTGCATGACTCTCCTTTCCACCTCTTTTATTCGTAAATCGAATAATTCAAGATACGAAATAAAGCAAAAAGCTTGAACCACAGATACTAGACTTATAACCAGTCATACCGAAAGTCGCAGAAACAAACATCCACCAACACAACAACAACAAGAACATCTAAGAAACATTTTCCAACATACCTGATGCGTGTAACTGCCCTCTGGCCCCAGATAGGCAACAACTGATTTTTTCTTCTCCTCCACGCCCGTCATATTTGGGCTGTTGGCAGGTTACAAAGCGTATGGTAGATGGCTAAATTCCACCGAACCCAAGGGTAAGATAAACTATATATTCTCTCGGGACGACCGTCGGAACCACCACCCCCGGTATCGGCGCTAGTGCAACACCAGTCCAAACGGTACTTTTTGTGCTCAGGCAACATACAAGTACATGTAGGGCGTCAGGACACACAAGTTGACTCTACATGCAGAGTGGCAGCAGCCCACATAACACGGACTGTAGGTACATATAGGGCACAAACACTACGTCATAGTATTGTTTCTAACAAACACAATCGAGTCAGTCACAAAAATCTAAAAAAAACAAGACAACACATCAAAGTCACTTTTCTAATTCAGCTAAATTTGAGAGAGCGACAAGCTGACGCATATATGGGCGAGCAATCTTCCCTTTTTCCTTCCTTTCCTCCCCTATGGAGAGAGTCGCAGCCAATCAAAGACAATAACCATTCTTCAGAACCCCACTCATTTTTTAGTCCTGACAACAGCTAAGATAGAGCTTGTCGGGCCGGGTTTTTGAAGAGGCTGAGCCTTGGACGAGACTGCTGCCTCTCCGTGCAAGCGAGAGCGGGTCGTGGTAAGAATGGGTGTTGATCGACCTGCACACTATTAGCGGGCAATCCATCAACAAGCACAACTTCCACCTACATTGCAAACCCTCCGTAGGCACTCCCATCTTACAACCTGGAGAGGCGAAGCGTCGTTGCCTCGACTACTCTGGCCTTGACTCCGGATACGTCATTTAGACTTTTCGCGCGGGTAACGGACGTTCCTTCACTCGACTCGAGTGGAGACGCTACCTCGCAGTCAGCGAGGGCGCACAACCGTCAATCATCGTAGAACTCGTCTTCATCGTCGTCGACCTCGGCAAGCTGTTCAAAGTTGAGGGCATAACGCAGGATGGCACCGATACCACCAAAGCCCTTGACGAACTGGTTACCCTCGGAAGAACGATCCGAGACGAATTCGAGGTTGGCACCAAAGTCGCGGTACTTTTCGGCAAGCCACTCGAGCATGGAACCCTGATCAATGACTTCCATCTCCTGTCCGGTTTCCTTGTCCATGAAGATGCTTCGGTCCTCTTCCTGGAGCTTTGTGGTGTGGAGGATGATCTCGGAACCGGCAGAGCTCTTGAGAACCCATCGAGTGATTTCCAAGTTTTCAAAGACAATCAGAGTCTCGGCTGCACCAGCCTCGAGGGCCTTGAGGGTATCGTCGATACCGTAGCAGACCTTTCCAGAGTCCTTGGAGATGTGGTCAAAGTACTCGTTGATGAGCTTCTTTTCTTGAATGAACTTGACGTTACTGAGAGTCTCGCCTGCGAGTTCAATGGCCTGGTTGAAACCGTTTTCGCCTCCGTAGGACACGTCGACAACTTTGATGACTTTGGACTGCAGACGGTTGTCGAAGAGGTCCGACTGGTTGAGATCGTTCTTGAAGTCGGCAGAACCAGCGAGAATGATTCCGGCAACGTTGACTTTGTCGGCGGTGATGAAGTTCTGGACAGCCAATTCGGCGACCTTGCGGACGTAGTTGTGGCGCTTTTCTTCACGCAGACGGGCGAAACGCAGAGCGGACTGACCACCACGACCGTGCTTCTTAGGAAGGTCGACCGAGAACCTGGTGGCGTTAGTATGGCAACGTGGGGGGGGTTGTACGTCAGGCTCACTTGTGGACAATTTCACGCGTGTTTCCTGACAGAGTACCGAACAGGGCACCGTTTCCGTCCATGATGATGAAACCAAACTTTTGGTCAGACTCGAGCAGCTCGCTCAGGGCCTCGGTATGGAACTTGTTGTCACACAGGTATAGCGAGGTGTTGATGGGCTTGAAGGGCTCAAAGTCAATGTTGATCTTGCGCTCCTTGCCTTCGGCGGTGATGATTTCACCGCAGTAGACAACGAGGCCATTGGGGGGGACCTTGGAGTAGAGCTTCAGACGCTGCTGGGTCGATGTGATGGCGGACAGGACAGAGAGACGGTTGACGCGGGATTTGATGTTGGAGGCAGTGCCCTGAAGCGCGCAAACGTTAGTTGTTGGACATAAATCGCGCAAGATCAGGTGGCAGACGTACAAACTCTTCAGCCAACATTTTGGCGGCGCGTGAGATCTGATCCTTGGGGGCTTTGGATAGTCAGTCGGTGGGCGGATAGGCTGCTGCGCGACGGTGACATACGGATGATGAGCGAAATCATGGATGTGCCATTTCCACGGGCGGCCTCGAGACGCTTGATGAGCTTCTTGACCTTCCAGATCTCAATGTTCTTCTCGGCCTCGTTGGGCTGCTCGTTCTTCCCGGACATGGTCGCGGTGGGTTGGTGGTTGTGCTGGAGAGGGAGGTGTGGGGTCGAGAGATTTTCTCGAAGGGCGAGGGGCAGGCGAGCAGGCCAGCAAGCGACGACGTAGGGGCACGCACGGCGACTGCAAGCACGCGTTCGCAGAGTGCAGACGGCAGCAGAAGGGGGGGGTGTTTGCAGCCGACGGGCGTGGGTGAAGAAAAAGATTTGCGTCTCGGGCTGACTGACTGTGAGCTCACACCAGGCCGCTGATCTGGTCTGGCATCATCATCATCATCATCAGGCACACACACTCTCTCTCTCCCATCTACCAGCATAGAGAGAGTACACATAGGCAGCACAGAATGCGTATGGCGATGCTCATTGGCTCGGTTAGCTGGCCACTCAGAAGACAGCGGACGCGAGGCTGCCGGCATCCGCGTTATCAGCCATAGCTTCCACCCCGTGCCATGCACCCTATGACGGCTACAGTGCGGGGGCCATGGATCCCCTCGTGATAGCGATCCATGGCTCCTGGTTTCTGCGTCTTTCGATGCTGCGCACCAGGGCTCCATGCCTTGGTCGGCGCTTCTTTATATAATGCCATCCGTCATGGCTCCGTCCTGGTTATCTACTGCATCCACAGGGTGCAATCTCAACCCGACGATAGCCAGGTATTGATTCAGTAGTTCCCGCCCCTGCAGGGTTTCAATCAAACCAGTTTTTTTATATCAAGCCTCGTGCTCCACTTGCGCCCCTTGGTCGTGTGTTCTCCTTCCCATCATTGCCGGCACTCACCATGGACATCAGAGGAAAACAGCCCTCGACTTGGGACGACTACGATGGCTCCGCCAGGGCCTCAATCGACTCGGACACGGGCAGCCGTGTGCAATGGGACCGCCTCGAGAGGCGCCCCAGTGGCGAGAGCAACGCGACAAACGGAGGCCGATGGTCAGGAGCGGCGACTGAATTGCGGCGACGGCGGTGAGCATGGCTCCTGATCTTGGTGTTGCGCGTGACGAAGCTAACAGGGCCTCTCAGATCTTCCATCGGCCAGCAGTTTGGCGCACTGGGCGACGCTGGCGGCGTAAACAGTATCAACAATTTCGCGCGATCATGGCAGCGTGCAGCAGGCTTCTTCGAAATCACTCCTGTGCGACCCTCATTCCGCGTTGAGCATGGCGACGGCGATAGCGACGGCGCCGACGAAGACGGCGACACCGATGCGGCGGATTTTCCGCGCAGCGACCTCCCAACTCCCGTCCCAGACCAGCGATCAGCCCTGCGCAATGCCCTACAGACCGAGGGAAGGCGTGCATCAGACAATGCACTCACAGATGAAGAGCAAGGTGCCACCGAGCAGACCCAGCTGCTGCCCCATACAGTCGAGCAGCGCCTGAGAGCAAGGGGATCTAGCATATTCCAGATTGAGCCCTCGCTATCTTCGCCCTTTGGAGCAAGCTACGGCACTGCCTACGGCAGTCTGAGCTCGCGCGTCAATGAGTCCTCAATGCGCCATGCCGGGCGATTGTTCACCGAGCAGCAGCTCAAGGGCGCTACAGAGCCCGAACAGGAGCGAGAACCGCTTCTTGTCAAGCAAGTTGAAGAGGATGGTCATATTATCAACGTGGTTGTGGGTCAATCTACCATGCCCCAGACCATTTTCAATTCGGTCAACGTGTTGGTGGGTGTGGGACTGCTCACCCTTCCTCTGGCTTTTAAGTACTCGGGTTGGCTGATTGGTATGGTTTTCCTTGCCTGGTCAGCCGTTGTCACTGCCTACACTGCGAAATTGCTTGCCAAGTGTCTGGATGTCGATGGCTCCTTGATCACTTTCGCCGATTTGGCTTATGTTTCATATGGCTCAAAAGCCCGAGTGGCCGTCAGCATGCTATTCTCCCTTGAGTTGCTCGCAGCTTGCGTTGCACTCGTGGTCTTGTTCGCTGATAGTATGGACGCGCTGATTCCTGGATGGGATATCTTGCAATGGAAGATCTTGTGTGGTGTGATTTTAATACCACTGAGCTTCCTGCCGCTCCGCTTCTTGTCATTTACATCGATCTTGGGTGTCATGTCTTGCTTTGGAAGTGAGTAAATGACTATGCATCCCTAAGTCTCATTTGCTAACACCCACTAGTTACCATCGCAATCTGGATCGACGGTCTTGTGAAGCCAGATGCCCCCGGCTCCATTCGCCAACCAATGCCACAGTACCTGTTCCCCGATAACTGGCTTACCGTTCCACTCTCCTTTGGTCTCCTCATGTCTCCCTGGGGTGGCCATTCTGTTTTTCCAAACATTTACCGCGACATGCGACACCCTTACAAGTACCGCAAGTCTGTCAACGTGACCTACATCTTCACCTACATTATCGACGTTGGAATGGCATGCGCTGGCATTCTCATGTTCGGCGATGGCGTCTTGGAAGAAATCACGAGCAATGTCTTTCTAACCGAGGGTTTCCCTAAGGGCCTTTCAGTATTCATCGCCATCTGCATTGCCATCATCCCCTTGACCAAGATTCCGTTGAATGCTCGACCCATTGTAAGCACCCTCGAGCTTCTCTTTGGCCTAGACGCACGATCTCTGGCCATGTCACCTTCCATGGACGGCATGGATGGCCTCACCCGGGGATTCTTCAAGATCTCCTTACGCATCATCACGATTGTTTTGTTTGTTTTCATCGCTATTGTTTTTCCCTCGTTCGATCGCATCATGACACTTCTCGGAAGTGTCGCTTGCTTTAGCATTTGCATCATCTTACCGTTGATGTTCCATCTGAAGCTTTTCGGAAAAGAGATATCCAGTGGAGAGAAGATGATGAACTGGGTGCTGATCATTGTCAGCGCCATAATGGCCGTTGTCAGTACTGTGTTTGCTTGCATACCTAAAGAGCTCCTTGAGTCATAGGTACAGAAGATGTTGATGGATAGAGATGCGAAAAGTCTATACGTGGCATTGTTTTCTCAGTATGCATAAAGCACGATATCCGGGAGAATTTGGCGTTTTTGAAGCATTTACTCTAATTTCCTTCTAGTCATGAACTACGTAATTCACCGTATACATCATTGGATGTTGGGTTTCACAGGCTTCGCAGATACGACTGTTACCTGATTCTGTCGCATTTCCTTTCACCCCAGAGTCATAGCTCTAGATTGCTTTCACTTGTCACCAAGCCGCTTCACGCCTATTATAAAAAATTCAGATTGTTCAAGTCAAGGCAAAACAACACTCTTCTCCAGTGGTCCTTTCTCTAATGTTGACTCGATCGCGCTCTTCCTCTATGAGGTTGCTCCTTCTCATTGCATGTGCGACATGCGCCACTTTTGTACACGGCCTCGTCGTCCCGGACGTCCCTTCCGAACTCGCCACGGGTACCACCAACAGCACCTTTCCAAGCGAACATCCTCTTGAAGAATGGTCCGAGCCAGTAAAAGCGGCTGCCGACGATCCATGGACGCTCTCTGTTGCTCGAGGCGCAAAGCTGCTCCAAGGCATGAGAAGCAACGATGCTGACGCGGCGAGTCTCTACGGCTTAGCAACAACAGCAGAATCACCCTTTAACGGTAATCTCATCGACAAGTTGCGCGAATGGGGCTACAATGATAACAACGACGCTCTAGCCAAGCAAGCAGACCCCGAGTGCAACTTTGACAGTCGCGACGGCCATATGCTCAAGAAAGCCTTTACGGATCTCGGAATCGGGATAAGCAGCAAGGGAAAAGGTGGACCCAACCAATGCTTCGCAATTGAACACACCAATGGTCCAGCCGTCAAGTTGGGAGACAACGGAAAGATGCCCGAAAAAGCCGACCAGCGGTACGAAGTATGTGGAAAAGAGTACAGAGTCACAAATGCCGAGCATACAATCGGCGTCAATACAGAGGCCGGCGCCGTATATGCTATGCAACTGTCCTCGGCCGCCAAAGCAGCGCGTAGACTATGGAAACGAGCGCCGCTCACTGAGGAACTTCCGGCTATACGTAGCGTCTCTGACATTGCATGGGCTTTTTGGAACCGAGCACATGATTCAAAAGGTCTGGAAAATACCAAGTACCTCTTCGTTGCCATGATCATCAACAAAGAAACCAATCAACATGTCAAGCGCGCTTTGGGTACGCCATCACCCCCAAAAGACGAACCAGATGGATGGCCAGGGCATAACTTCAACATGGATACGGATGAAGGAAAAGCGCTACTCGGCTCACCAGTTGGACGATGGGCAGGATATTTCTTGATGCAGCACAAAAGGCAGTTGGGAGGAAACAAGTATATATCCAACGTGAGAGTATTCAAGAGTGAGAAGGAAGGTAGTTGGCCGTACTTCTTATTCTATGTCGAAGGTCCTAGTATAGCTCCTATTTGGAAGCGGAGTACCAGCACGGACTCAGTAGAAGGATCTGTAGATACAGCACCAAAGGTTATCATGAGAAGTGAGGATGGAAGAAATGTGGTTAGAGAGCATGTTGTTTGGGCGGATATGTAACCCATGCGTGTTTACACATATCAGTCTCACACTTGTTTCCTAGTCACCACCAGAACTGAAATCTGAAGTTTAATAATAAAACAATGTAATAGTTCATCTCTACCAAACATAAAAAATACAAGATCGTGAACACCCCGCTGACTAACACCCGTCGCGCCTCCAATCGGCGCAACCCCAGCAGAAACCGCCGACCTCCTCCATCAAGTACGTCAAGAAATTCTATCAAACATAGCGACCGCAAATCCACACCCCAAACACCTCCGTATACTCGCCTTCCCCAAACCAAAAAAAAACAATCGCCTTGCCGCAAAACCCCTCGTTTCACAACCACCCCAACACCACTCTTTCCGAAACCCCCAAAGCAACGACAAGAAAAAACCAACCATGGACTCCCTCGGCAGCGGCCTCGGCAACCTCGACCTCACCAAGCTCTCGGACCGCGACAAGCAAGAGCTCCAGCAATTCGCCATGAACGAAGGCCAAAAGGCCAGAATCCAATCTTGTACGTTCTTCTTCATTCCCCTCTCACCTCCCACCTCCACTTTCGCCCGCCACCCCAGTCCACACCCTCGTCTCAACTACCAATTGCGCAAGGAAAAATTTGCTAACGCAGAAGGGAAAAAACAAAACAGCCATTCACTCTCTAACCGACACCTGTTTCCGCAAGTGCATCCCCACGGGCACGGTCAAGTTTGGTAAATTGGATAGGTACGAGGAGCCGTGTATGCGACAGTGTGTGGATCGGTTTTTGGATGCGAATTTGGTGGTGCTGAGGGAGTTGGAGAGGTTGAGGGGGTAAGAAGAGAGAGAGAGATGTGTGGATTGATGGAAGGGAGGGAGGGAGGGAAGGGTAAATATGGGAATTGGGGGAGGGGACAATGTACGATAGGAAATGATGAGATATGAATGAGGATAGGACATGGTTGTTACGTCAATCATCTGTAGGATATCGCAATGCGCTGGAATGGCATGCTGAACAGATATGCATCTACGAAAAGATTCAATGAGCGAAGCTACTATGGAAAAAAAAGAACGGACAACTGCTCGATACTAGCAACCAAAAAAAACACACAACATTGCAGCTCACACAATTCAAACGTCAAACGTCACACATCATCATCAACTGCAAAAATATATATGTTTGTTTCAGGACCAAGTTGGGTATTGGCGCCATGCGGAAATTTGTTTCATTCGAAGTCAACCTTGACTACGTTTATCCCATGAACGCCCGCCATGCATATCACATCGCTTTTTTCCTTTGCCGGGTATAACCAGGACCCTAATCATGACTATCCATGCCCTCTCTTCGTACAAACATCGCCTCATTTAAACAATGGCGAGCTTGGTAGCCGCAATGTCGAGAGCGTCGACGTCGGCAGTGAGGCGGCAGAAAGCCTTCTTTGAGCCGTCGGGGCGGATCAGGGTGTTGATCTTGACGCAGCTGACGTCGTACTGCTTCTTGAGAGCGGCGGCGATTTGGCGCTTGTTGGCCTTGACGTTGCAGATGAAGACGAGGGTGTTGTTCTCCTCAATCTTCTTCATGGCGGACTCGGTGTTGAGAGGGTGGATGAGGACCTTCTCAGCGTCCATGCGAGGAGCATGGGGGACCGACTTGCGAGGGTACTTAGGGGCGCGGGACAGCTCGAGGGTCTTGGGGCTGTGGAAAAAATTATTAGCATGTGAATCTTGAAAAGGTCAATCTAGGGCATACCGGTGGAAGCTGGTGCTCTTCCTGATGGCGCGCTTCTTGTTCGCATACGACTGTCATCTCGTTAATTGTGTCCGTCACACGAGACGTACAGCCCGTCAGAGGTATATTTCTGACACGACTCAAGAGGATCAGGGGAGGCTTACGCCCTTAAGGGCCGCTTTGGCAGCGGCGTTGGCCTGCTTGCCGGTCTTGGTGGCGGCTGCAAACATTGTTAGCATTGAGCGCAAACTGAGGGGAGCTGATCGAGGCGCATCTGCAAAGTTCCTTTGCAAAGGTTCACGCTGCTGGAGTGCAGGCGCTACTTCGCATTGTGTGCGTATGCATGCTCGTTTCTCGATCTCGTGGCTGCGATATAGGCGTGAACGTACTCTTGGATGCTGGCTTGGGTCCCATTTTGGCGGTGTTGGTGGTCCTGAAGGTTAGTGTCGAGAGTCGCAATTCATTTTTGCGGCGGACGGCATGTCGGGTGCGAGGGCTCGGCTAACTCGCGCTAGTGCTAGCGCCAGATGCAGCATCTCCAGCTTTCGGCGTGCCCTCGCGCGAACCATGTGACTTGCGACGCAAACGCCATCATGGCTGTAAAAAAGCGCCAGAAGACTCTGTCGCATGGTCGGCCACCCATCAGCAAGCCAAAAGAGCGGATGACTTCTGAGCGATCACGGACTATCATTCGCACCCATCACCGTTTACAGAAGGAGCACGCAGCAGCTCTGAGGAAGGGAGACTTGTCATCTGCAGAAGAGATTGCTCGAGCTATCGAAAAGAATGGAGGTATAAAAACGTATCAGGCCGCAAGCAAACAGGGGCAGGCAAAAGATCGGGGTGGTGATTCAAGTAAGGTCTTAGTCGAATGGCTGCAAAAATCGCACGTGCTAGGAGCAAAAGAGCGAGGCCACATCATGCCCAAACTTCGATGCCTGGAAATCGGCGCTCTGTCAACTAAGAACGAGATTTCCAAGTACTCGAGTGTCATCGATATGACAAGGATCGACCTCAACAGCCAGGGACAGGGTATAGAGAAACAAGATTTCATGCAACGACCACTTCCAACGGCTGACGGCGAACGTTTCGACATCATCTCCTTATCGCTAGTACTCAACTACGTACCGGACGCCACTGGCAGAGGCGAAATGCTGAAGCGTATTACCAAGTTTATGCGAAGGAGCACTGCAAGAGTGGATGATTCCCTGCTTGCACTACCAGCACTGTTCTTCGTTCTACCACTTCCATGTGTCGACAACTCCCGGTACCTAGACGAGGACCTACTTCTCCAAATAATGGGCCGCCTTGGCTTCAACATGACGTTCAGCAAGAAGACATCAAAACTGTGTTACTACATGTTCATTTTGACAGGGGAACCCACTAAGGCGACCACGGAAAAGAAGAAGATACGAGATGGCCCAGGCATGAATAACTTCTGCGTCGTTGTTGAATGAACATCAGGTGCTAGAACGCAAGGGATGTAATATGCCAATACTACAAAAGCGGAGACGACAGAGTACCATGCAAGTCGGGGTCGAATAGGAATCGAGAGCGACGAACACTTACAACTGGCGACTCTATTTTCGCCTTGGCGCCACGCTGAACATACCATCAACATGCGGCGACTACACTGGGCATTGCGGAAAGAATGCCGTTATTCTGTATAGGGGGAATACTTGGCTGCCATAAAAGTACGTACGTGTGTAGATCAGAAATTGCTGATGTCCTGTTCGGACCCAATCTGATGTCACAACAGGCACTGTCATCGGGATTTTCCGTGGTATCCTAGCTTTCTCACAAATAAGCACGATCGATTCAGCCTGCGCCACGAACCACATTAGAACGTTTGCAGATGGCAAAGTGTTGTTTTGGTCTTTATAGCGGGCCTAACATCACAGCAGAGCAGAAGTTGTGCCGAGACCCGTCATGATATCCACCTAAGAACATACATTTCAATATCCACCGGCAATGTGCGGTATTATTTACAATGGGTCGGCTCTAGACCAGTCGGTAGTAAATATGTATGCGGTTTCGTCGTTGCGCCGATAAAGTTCCGAGCGCTGCTTACAACAAGATGTTCGGTGGAAACGCCTCGGTCCTCAGGCACATATTGTACCTGCATGGCACCCGTACTGCATGCGCATGTACAGCGAACATCACTTCTCGCAACACCGCCGCGATGAACTGCAACAGCTTGCTCGTCGCTTTATGTGCTGAGAAGTTGGCTGCCGAGCAAGGAACATGAAATTCTGCTCAATGTGTTGCCGCCTCGTTATCTCGCTGCTGTTTGATTTTCCTTTAGCGCATCCTTCATCCCAGCACCTCATCACCCACGGCCCCCCAGTTACCATTGCGCCAAGCATTACTCAAGCCTTTTTCTGAAACAACCTTAGCTCGTCCAGATCCCAGACACCGGCTTGTCAGAGTATGTTTCGGGCACGGGGACAGCTTGCAAAAGGTACAATGCGCAGCTCGTGCGACAAAATTACCCGTCTTTGGCAGGTTGAACAAGGGAACATTAAACAGGAGATGAGCTTATTTCCAATCGCTTCCGTGGCCAAATCTCCACAAGGGAGTTTGTCCGAGCGCGTCGCCGCTGCCCTGCTCTCGTGAAATGAGGTGTCAGCCGGACCTGGGTGTTTATGTACCTGGGCGGGGGCGCTCTCTGTTAGTCGACCTTTCATTTATCTCGTCCGCCTCGTGGCAAAGCCAAACTCTAGTCATTCTTTCTGCTCCATCCAGTCACTCTTTTCCAAGCCGCTGCGCTGCTGTCACTCGTTACCTGAACTCGTTGATACGACTCATCACATTCCTTGTCACAACTAAACTGTCGGCTAGAAGTCAGACACGATGAAGTCCACCATCTTCTCCATCCTCCCCATTGCGGGCCTCGCTGCCGCCGAGTCGTACTGCTCTGTCCAGACCTACACTAAGACCGAGTACGAGACTGTGTATGAGACTGCTACAGCCGCAAAGGTTGCAGATGTCACGGCCAGCAAGCCCAGCACCTGCTCAAGGCCTACCGTCACTGCCACCACCTATGAGAAGGTCTACGTCACTGTCACTGCGCCTGGCTATGGTTCAATGCCTCCAAAGCCTTCGACCTCGACTAGCACCGTCGAAGACTACGTCACTGTGACTGTCCGCCCAACAGCTTCGGAATGTGCAGCCACCCCATCCTCCGCTCCACTCGCGTCCGCATCACCCTCCCCTTCCGGAGTTCCCCTCCCAAGTTTCCAATTGGCGTCCAGCCCGGCCGTAGAGGCCACTTCTGAGAGCAAGACCCCAGTTGCGTATCCTACTGCTGCGCCGCCCGCTGCATCATCCACTGCCTCATCCACTGCCTCTGCAGCTGCTGCGGCCGTCTCCCCCAAGGCAGGTTCCAACACCTCTTCCGCAGGATCTAAGCGCGGCGAAGCTACCTTTTATGGCGGTAACCTCGATGGTGGCATGTGCTCCTTGACAGGATACAAGCTCCCCAGTGGCCTCTTTGGCACTGCGCTGACCGACTCTGACTGGGATTCCGCCAACGCTTGCGGTACCTGCGTTAGCGTCACTGGTCCTTCTGGCGACAAGATCACTGCCATGGTCGTCGACCAATGCCCTGGCTGCGGTCCTCACCACGTCGATCTCTTCCCTGATGCTTTCAAGAAGCTCGCTGATCCCTCCAAGGGAATAATCCCCGTCTCTTGGGAGATTGTTCCTTGCGGCATCACCACCCCCATTGTCCTCAAGAACAAGTCCGGTACCAGCGCCCACTGGTTCTCCATGCAAGTCATGAACGCGAACATCCAAGTCACCTCTCTCGAGGTCTCCACCGACGGCGGCAAGACCTGGAAGGGCACCAAGAGGCAGCCGTACAACTTCTTCGAGAACTCGGCTGGCTTCGGTACCGACTCCGTCGACGTCAAGGTCACCAGCTCCGGTGGTCAATCTATCATTGTCAAGGGTGTCAGCGTTGCCTCTGGCACCACCAAGACTGGCACCAGCAACTTTTCTTAAGCAGGATGGCCTGCAGTGGGTGGATAGTTGAACCCAAAAAGTTGTAGCAGCCTTTTCTCTTGACGATCGGATTTCGACGACCTTTTTTTTGTGACATACATTCCTTTCTTTTACATTTAGCCACTTTTTTCTTGACTCAAAGCCTTGAGTGGCCTTTGGTCGTTATTTTCTATTCATCAATTATATCTATTTTTCAGACTTGGTTTGGCCGTGAAACGCTTTGCTGGGTCAACTTCATGAATGGAAGTCTTATTTGCAACGTCTTGATTTCCCTTTTTCTTTTTTGAGTGCACACAAATTATCAGACTCTAAGGGACATTTCTTCAAGACGATGGCGTCCATCGTTGATATGTACTTGTACTTGTAAAATTAGCAACTACTACCTTCCCAAGGTCCTCCTACCAAGTCAATCCAATCCAAGTCATGTCCAAAAAAACACTCCAACACTCAACCCTCTTCACTCCCTCCCCTCTCACACACACAAAACTCACCCACCAGACAATCAAACTCTCCCACCCCTTCCGTATCCCCAAACAAAACACCGGACATTACACTCCCCGCATTCATACACTCCAACTCCAAAATTACCTATAAAACCCGCATACTATACCTGTAAGCAAATCCCCGAGACAAACAAACACCAGCCCTGTACATCATTTTCTTTTCCGCACAAGCGGAAAGTATGGGGTTTTCCCGTTTCTCCACTTGTGCCGTCTGTCTCTCTCTCTCTCTCTCTCTCTCTCCTTACCATTCAAACCCGCCTATCTTCTAGCCATGCGTTTCGTAAAACGCTATGTTGTGCTCGCAGCGCTTAAGCGATAGAATGTGACTACACAAGAGTTTTTTCTTTTCCTCCCCACAGATGTAATGGTGTTTCTCAGGGATTCTTTTTATTTTCAGAGTGGAGAGGAGTGAGTTTTATTGGTAGGGTATGGGGCGGCTCAGATCGGAAATTAGATCTTGTGAAGGGCAGACTAGGGGGGGGTGGGTGGGGTTAGGGCCAAGCTGAACGGTTGGGTCCCCGTGTGTTGGTTAATATCGCTTACGGGGATTAGAGGGCGGATGGCAGAGTATTGGTTAGTTTGGTTTTCTGGAGGTTGTGTGGGCGGTTAGGTGGAGAGTGTGGGGTTGTTCTGGTATTTTTTTCTTGGGGGGAGTATGGGGGGTAGAGAGGGACTTGGATGTTACATAATGGATGAATGTTCGGTTTATTTTTTTACCCAAGAGAAGCGGGAAGAAGGGGACGAGAGGAAGGGATGTCTCGCAGTGCGTTTGTGTGTAGACTTCTGCGGATAGGACGGATTAGTAGTAACATCGCTTGCAGTGATGAAATGCAACAGTTCAGGAGATAAAAAAAATATAAACATGCGACTTCTTAATAGGGTACATGAGAAAGAAGTATAAGTCATTTGCGAAGTTCGAATTGTCTGCTAATAAGTGTAAAAGGAAAACACAAGACCTATCTGACAGGAAGCAGAACCATACTATATCAAACTAGGCAATACGTCAACTCACACATCACATGTATTTCATTCTCTTACAGGCTTGACGTCCCGTCATCCATCCAATCACAACATGCATCAAAAAATACGAGATCCGTCTCACTCTTATACGAAATCGATGGTGCAATCCAGCTTACGCGTCCAACCTCATCCCCCCCCCCCCCAAAATCACTCAGATAAAACCACAGGCAAACAAGTCCCAGATGATGAAAGTTCCATTAATCCATGCACAAACTATATACAGGATCTCCCTATTACC